GATGTTGCTTTATATGTACGAATGGGCAGGCCCGAGTATTGAGTGAAGTACTCAATAGAGTGGTGTTACCATTTTGTGAAAAAAAAAAAAGCACGAGAAAAGGAGGGGTCGACATATACACAGGAATGCTGCCTGCACACGGAGTTCCTCCGAAATGGCACAGGACGGGACAGCGGCTGACTCCGGAGATGGGCAGCAGGAGACCAAAAGACAGCGAGTGGACGCCTTCTGGGCGCTTTCAGGGTCTCTGAGTTTCCCTAACCTGTTTGTGTATTACGAAAGCATGTGGTAAAAAAACACTTTCGCTGTTTTCGGGGCGGCGCGAGAGACTTCCCGGCGGGCGCCCCCGCCCCGGCGCGTCCGAGCCCCGCACCCCCCGCCCGCCCGCGCTCACCGCCGATGATGGTCCGGATGAGGGAGGCATGCCCGGGGCAGTCGACCAGCGTGACCTGCAGCCGCGGCTCGGCCCCGGGCTCGGGCTCGAGCTCGGCCCCCAGCGGCGCCGGCCGCAGGCGCGCGGGCAGCGGCACCGAGAAGCACGAGAAGCCCAGGTCGAGCGTGATGCCGCGCTCGCGGCTCTGCGGCTGCTTGTCGAAGGCGGCGGTGGAGGCTGTGGTGCTGAGCGCGCGCGCCAGCGCCGTCTTGCCGCTGTCGATGTGGCCCAGGACGCCCACGTTCACGTTCACCCGCCGGCCCGCCATGCCGCCGCTGCGGTCCGCCCGCTAAGCCGGCCCCCGCCGCCCGCGTCCCGCTCGCGCGTTCCGGCGCCGAAGCTTCCGGCCGCGCGATCAGTCCGCCGAGCCGGGGAGCCAGGCGCCGGGGCCGACCTCCGTCCGTCCTCGCGTTCGTTCGTTCGTTCGTTTCCACGGGCTCTAGCTGAGCGCCCTCTGGGCACCCGGCGCCTTCTGTCCACCGCGCGGGGACAGGTCGCTCTCTCCGCAGGACATGGGGGACCCGGAGGTGGGGCGGGGGGAACAATAACCGGGAGTAAAGACGGAACCAGACCACTACGGACCAGGAGAAGCCCTGGGGAAATACAGCAGCGGTGGAAAGACCAGGCCCGGGGCAGGGAGGATGGGCCGCGAAGCTGAGCCCGTCCTGCCTAAGAGCCAGCGCGGGAAACCTGGGAAGGCTGCTCGGAGAATCTCGGACCCGGGCAGGCAGCCTGGCCTCAGGGGGCCGCCAGACTGTACGCAGAAGGTCGTGTGAGTGCGCGCGTTCCGGGGAGGGCCCGCAACGCTCATTCTCTTGAAATGTCACCCACAGAAAAGGTGTCGCCCACGGGCAACAACACGGATCACAAATTTAAAGGTCTGCCCTGGCCAGGCAGGTGACTCGCCAGAGAGTAATCAGCAGGGTTTAAGGTGCCCGGGGTGGTGGAGACTGCGGAGGTGGAGAGCACATGTCCTGTGGCCACAGATGGGGAGCCACGGCTCAGCTTTGGCCAAGTGACACCAGGCGGGAATGCTAGCCCAACATTGCCCCATCTTCCCGCTTTTCAAGAGACGAGAGTGTCTCTATGTGAAATCTGAGAGACATTTTGCCTGGTGAGGCCGCCGAGACTTGGGGCTGCGGGCTGTAGCTGTTACCCGGCCCGACTTACACCTAAACGCTCACCAGCGGCAGGGCTGGGGCTTTAAGCCAGGTCTTACCGTCTCCAACTCCCACCACAGCTGGCTCCAAGACAGGTGCTGCCCCAGCAGTAGCCTGGAGTCTAGCCCTGTCTCCACAAGTGCCAAGGAGACGGCAGCTCTGAGTTGTCTCAAAAGTCAGCCAGATTCAGACTGTGTCTTGGGCTCAGCTGTGCCCCTGCACCAAGCAGAGAAATACAGACCTCTGCCTAGGCAGGTGTGAGTCATAAGCTCACTCCAAGAGCCAGGGAGAGTGTGAGGGACACCCTGTAGGAACTGGAGCCCTGTTGCCAGCAAAATGCAGGTCACATCACGCCCCCTCCTTTGTCCTTTGTCCCTATCCTGGTTTCTACCCCAGTGAGGCGAGTTTGCTTTAGACCAGGCTGGTGCCCTGGTGCTCTCCCCTGTCCCAGCAGGCTGAGGACCCCTTACACATCTTTGCTTCCCCTCGGCCTGGCACATCAAAGGCTCCATAACTGTTTCTTGAGTGGACCCACCTCCAAACCTCCAGCCCACAAAGACACCGTCCTCTGCAGCAGACTCCTGGGTCCCAGCCTGGGTTCCAAGGCTGGGCCTGGTCCCTGGGAAATGACTGACAGGGAATGGCCTGCAGAACTGCGATTATTTGGGATTTGTTCTTCATGTTAATGCGGTGCTGGTTCCTTTCTGTTTCTTTAATGCCATTTTGTACGAAGGTAGTTCAAAGTTCTTTACGAACAGCTAGTAATTAATTCAACTTCATTAAGGCCAATTAATCCAGGATTAATTATAAATTTGCTCAGAGGAAGTTATTATACTTTGCTCTTTGATTTGAGTTTGGCTTTAAAGATTCTTTTAGGAGTAAAATGGAAATTTCCTTTTTCTCTGAGGGTATCTACCTTGCCAGTGATTGTGTTAACCACATACCTTCCTCGACATGTCCCATACTAACCTCAGATGAGGTTGTCACCCAGGCCACCACTGTGCTCCGTGGCGCTCCCAGTACTGAACAGATCTGCTAATGCCCTGTTAGCTGCAGGGTGGGAGCTGATGTCCTGGCAAGAACTGGCCCCACACAGGTTCAAATCATGGCCCTACCTCGTGCTGGCTGTGTGCCTGGGAGCACACCTTCCACCTGGATATGGATACAAACTCTTTAAGGTCTACAGTGGTCGGCGTCCCCTCCCTCTTCTGTAAGACTCCTCTACTCTCCTTGGAGGTATCACACTCCTCTCCTCCAGGTCACGATGGGGGCTGACTGAACGCTAGCTCTAGGGGTGGGCCCGAGACTCAGGTCCATTCCAGTAGCCATGACCATTGGTTTGGCAGTGAGCGTGTGACCCAAGTTAGCACAATCGGAGAAAACCCTGGAATTTTTTCCAGGACAGGCAATAGAAAAGTGTGCTCTCTGATACTGGACTAAAGCCTGGGGAAATCAGTCTGGGCCCTAATGGGACCCCTGGAGGGAAGCCTGGCCACAGCAGAACAGTGGCCTCCAAAGATGTCCGTGTCCTGGAACCTGTGATGGTGTTGCCCTCCATGGTAACGAGACTTGGCAGGTGTGATTCAGTTAAGGATCTTGCGATGGCGGGGATGGGGGAGGTGGGGAGCTCACCCTGGATTATCCTGCGGGCCTGATGTAGTCACCAGGGTCGTTACAGGAGGGAGGCGGGAGGATCAGAACCAGAGATGGCGTCATGAGAAGACGCTGCTGGCCGTTACTGTTTTCAAAGGCGGAAGCAGAACATAAGTCCAGGAAGGTGGGCAGCTTGTAGCCTCTGACCCCATTGCCATGTGACGCCAGTGGGACGATGGTCCAGGTGGAGCCCTGGGGACCTGCAGGCTTTCTCGGCATCTGCTGCCGGGTTTCCCCACCGCAGTGGGATGTGCCTGCTGAGACGGACGGAAACTGTTCCCCAGCAGAGAAGGTTGCAATCGGAGGCGCAGGCCTCACCCTGGCTAACCTGACCCCATCCCCAGCCCCACTTCCTGCCTCGGGCTCCAAAGCAATTCCGGTGAGTGCCCTCGGGTACTGTTTCCGTTTGAAAAGCATGACAAGATTACCATGAAGGGCAGGACACACACACAGCAGGCAGATATCCAAGGGAGAAATAGCCCATGTCTTTATGTTCCAAAGCTCTGATGCCATTTTCTGTGCCCCTCCCAGTGCTTGAGCCCATTGTAAAAGATCTCACTGAATTCTTTTAATAATCCCAGGAGGTGCTGTTATCGCTACTTTACAGCAGAGGGAAGAGGGCCAGGAGAGGTGACTTGCTCAGGCCCTCTGTTCCCTGCCAGCTGATCCTTGTTTTATGTCAGGTTTTTTTCAACCTCAGTGATATGAACCATCTTCATAATTTATGCAATATCCAGGTACCACCTACAACTTCATATTTTTCTTTAAGTTTGACTTAAATAAATAAAAGTATCTCCCTTACACAGAAAAACATTATCACTTGCCATAAATAGCTGGGAACCACAACAACCTCAGAATCAGGATCGTTAATAAAAAGAGAGATTAGCAAGCGTTAGAAAGGGGTTAAAGTCACACTCCACCCCCTAAGACTCACTGAATTAGAATTAAAAAGGCAATAATGTTCTCACTATGTGGATCAACTTTATTTAATTTTATGTCTTGTACCACCTCTAAGGTGTCCCTTCTGTCCCCAGAAATCAGCCTGGGGCTGAAATGACAAGCATGCCAATGAGGTTGGCAACGATCATAAAGGGGGGTGAGAATGTGGGAATAGAAGACCAGGGACTAAGCCCATTAGCTTAAACAGGGGACTCCTTCAACAGGGACTTTGATTTGATTCTGATTGGTTTGGATCTTGGGGATCATGGCTCTGAAGCACACCCCAGACACTGGGAATTATCCTGCTCGTAATCATCGTAATAATCTTTGTCGTGCGTTATATTCTCTCAAGAGCTTTAAAGGCATGTTTGCAGCCACTAAGCACCAAGCAAATGATCTCCCTACGACTGGAACATCAGAAAAAGAATGAAAGAAAGACTGACAGAGAACGTGAACCCGACGTCATAACCTGTGAGCACCACACAGAGGGTCAGCAGAAGCTGCAAGGCCTCCAGAGTGGTAGCTGGGAATAGCGCTAATGCCTTCAATTTGTATTGCATCCCTCAGGCTGAGAGACTGGTCAAAAGGGGGAAATTGTTAAAAATAAGACAATGGGCCCAAAACGCAGTGGCTTATGCTAAGCCTCAAGTCACCAAATCAAGACTTAGTTACTGGACTTCCCCGGCGGTCCAGTGGTTAAGACTCCACGCTTCCACTGCAGGGGACGCAGGTTCGATCCCTGGTTGGGGAACTAAGATCCCACATGCCACGTGGCATGGCCAAAAAAAAGAATTAAGTTTCAGCTCTTTCCCCTTTGAATGGTCTTGGCACCCTTGCTGATATACTGAGGGTTTATTTCTGGGCTCTCTATTCTATTCCATTAGTCTATATGTCTGTCCTTGTGCCAGTGCCACGCTGGTGATAACTGCAGACCATTATTCAATGTCCCATTAGTTAGGATACACTCTCAGCACTCAGCTGAGCCTGGAGACCATGACAACGTGTGGCTCCACGGGGACCCTGGGTCATTGCCCCCCTCCACATGCAGCAGCCTTCTCAAGATGTTGGAGAAGGCAGAGGCAGGCTTGACCTGGGCTTGTGGGCTCAAAGGTCAGGTGTGAAAGAAGTCAAAGCAAGGAGCAAGCAGAAGCACTGGGAACCAGTGGCTGAGATGCTCAAGCTTGGACTGGAGAAAAGAGGGGTCAAGGCACTGGAGGTGAAAGAGCAAGGCTCATGGGAGTGAGAGAGAGAGAGCAGGCAGGTCTGGGGTTGTCACACAGCACAAGCTGGGATGCAGCTGTCCACTCCATTCCTTGTATGTGTGTCACTGCACAAACCCATGGGTGGAACCCTAACTCAAGTTATTTTAAGCCCCAACGTCAGTGCCATTTACACTGCCAAGTAGGGCAAAGCTGGATCTGGGAACGTAGAGGATTTCATCAGGAATCTGCCAGCTTTCCCTTCTTTTGTGCTGGCTTCATTCTCAGAGTCTTCCCATGAAGTGGCAAAGATGACCCGGAAGCCTAGGACCCAAGTCTCTTTCCCGATATTTCCAGTAAAAGTGCAGGTCTGAGTGTCATTGGACTGTCCGCTCACATCTCTGAACCAATCACCATTCTGGGGAGGAGGGGATACTTTGATAGGCCAGGCCAGGGTCCCGTGTCCATTCCTGAAATAAAGCTGGGGGTGGGGTCAACCCATCTAAACCACCTAGATGCCAAGTGGGGGAAGGGTGGTTCTCTACAGAAAATTACAGTGAAGGTGGCCAGAAGAGGTAGGAAGGGTGCTGGGCGGGCATAATAACCCCTGTCCACTGCTATTGGCCTCACCTACCTTCACGCACCTTGTACACTTTGGACACTGGCCTGCCGCATCGTCTTCTGTTGAAATGAAAGGAACTGCCTGGCTCTGCAGCCAGGCCCAGCTTCTTTGCACACTGGACCTGGGGTCTAGGCCTGGGAAAGGCATTTGCTCAATTTGTGATCTTGGACAAACTCCATCCCCTTTTAGGGCCTCAGTTTCCTCACCTGTAAAAAGAGAATGTTAGGCTGGATCAGATGTTTGAACTGTTGTTTAGCAGGAAAAAAATGTAACAGCTCTGGTGGAGGGGGAGGTGGGGGCCAAAAGGTTCCATTCACTGACAGAAACCATTATCAAGTCCCATAAGATCCGCTGTGTAAAATACCTGCAGCAAAACTGCATGATTTTGTGTGTATGTGAGGGTCCAGAACCCTACTGAATTTATAAGAAGCCTTAATTGTGAGCCAGGCTGTGTGCCAGACACTGGGGTTAAAATGATGAACAACACAGACGTGGTCTACACTTTCATAATGCCTGCCATTTAGTGGGAGAGACTAACATTGACCTGACAGTCTTGCAAGTAATCAGAAACCTAGACTCAAAAGTTATGATGGAGAAGTACAAGGAGATGTGAGAGTCAGGAGCTCCTGCACCTGGATTTGACTTCAGGTCTGTCTCAACCCTAATGCAAGCTCCCCTGAGCTCTGGGCCAGTCCCTCCCTTTCTCCGGACCTGAGTCCACTCAGGTGTGAAATGGTGACATACCGTCTGCTTCCGAGGATGTTATCCTTCTGTCAGGGATCGGTCCAGGCGTTACCACGTCATGGCGCCTTCCTTGGCTCTCCAGCTTTTCCAGATGGCCCTGCTCTGGGCTTGCACACCACGTGGGGGTACCTACTTTGGCACACCTCATGTTGCAAGTTTCCCAACTAAGGACTGAGCTTGTCAAGGCTGGAGATTTTGTATTTTATGTGTGCATCCTAGTGCATGGTACTGTCTGGCTCACAGCAGGTGCTAACAAATGTTTGTGGAATGACTGGGTGGATGGGAAGAGTACACTTTTGGGGGGAGTGTTAATATCATCATGGAACCGGACAGGACACGGCCACTGGCTAATTGTCTCATCTGAGGTCGTGGGATGGGATGAGGTTTACACCGGCTGCAAAGCCTGAAGTCCTCAGGTGGAGTTCCTACTCTTCTGATTACTTGCTGTGCGTTCTTCATAAGTTATTGGGCCTCTTTTAGCCCGCATCTTTATCTGCATTAGGAATTACACTAAACGTCATCCACAGCCAACTTACTCTAAGTAAAGGGAGGGGTGGAGGCGAGGAGGAGAGGAGGAGGACAACCCCAAGGAGGATGCCGAGCACAGCCTCCCCAGGGAGATGAAAGGCGTGGGAGTCAGAAAACGGCTTAGTGGGCACAAGTCGAAGCTTAAGTTCTAAACCTGTCTCTTCATCTCCAACACCGAGGTCGAACTTGATCTCCGCAAAAGGGTATCCATTCGAATGCGGTCACGGACGCGAAGGCGCCGTGAAGAGCGGGACTCGGGCCCTCACTGCGGCGCAGCGGCCCACCCGGGCAGGAAGCGCCGGCTGCGGGGGAAGCCAACCTCGGGACACAGCCGGAAGCGGGTAGGCGGAGCCTTCCCGGCAGCCGCGACGGGCAAAGCCAGGAGCCAATGGGGCGCTGAGGAGTTCCCGCCGCGGCCAATGGGGAGCTGACCGAGGCGGGGCCGGGCCAGCCGCCTGGTAACGGCCGCGTGGTAACCGGCTGCGCGCTGCTAGGGCTGAGCGGGCGCTCGGGCTCCAGGTGCGCAGGATGAAGATCGAGGAGGTGAAGAGCACCACCAAGACGCAGCGCATCGCCTCCCACAGCCACGTGAAGGGGCTGGGGCTGGACGAGAGCGGCCTGGCCAAGCAGGCGGCCTCGGGGCTCGTGGGCCAGGAGAACGCGCGCGAGGTGTGGCGGCGGGGCGGGAGCTGAGGCGGGGGGACTGAACTGAGGGGGAGACTGAGGCGCGGACGGGGCTGAGGTGGGCCCGGGCTGCGCGGACCTGGGGGTGGGGCGTGGGGAGGACGTCCCGGGGCGCGGCGACGACCCCGCGGCCTCGCTCCTGGCCGCGAGTCCTGACTGACCGCCATTCCTGACTGACCGCCGCTCGGGGCCAGGCCGCCCGCGCGGCACGGGGGTCGGCGGGGAGAAGATGGGCCAGGTCCCTGCTCTCTGGGAGCTCGCGTTTCAGACACAGACATTTAAACCGCTGAACAGAAGAGCCGTTATTAGACTTCGGGGATCAGTTCCTGGGGGGCTCTGCGGGCCCGGGCACGGCGTTTGAGTTGCTGTGAGCGCAGTGAGAGGCTCTGGGACTTTTATAGTCGGGAGGTGATCCGCCTGAGCAGGTGGCAGCTACAGAGGCCTTTCTGAACATTCCCGTTAAGCCCACTTCTGCTAAGTGATGCTGGTGCCAAGTGCCTTCGGCCGCATTATCATCCCAAAACTCTTCAGGCTCGTTGTGTGTGTATTTTTTTTTTTTTTTTGATGAAAACATTGAGGGTGGGAAAGGTCACTTCACCCATCCTCTTGCCGCCCAGTTTAGTAATAGTCATGCTGGAGTTTGTGCCTGTGTGCCCCTGACTCCTGAAGCAGCGCGCTCTGTGTTAGGACCGCCCCCTCGGGCCCCCTTCAGCCCTAACTTCAGCCCATTTTGCCCCTCTGCCCCTGCGGTGGCTCGGCAGCTACAGAACTCCTGGGTAAGACTCTTGCCTCCTAGCCTGATTGTGCTAATAGAAGGGGCCAAAGAGAAGCCTCTGGTTTCCATTTGGAACATCAGGTTTCCAGAGAGCAAATAGTGACAGGGCCAAGGTGACTTTGAAATTTCTCCTTATCCAGCTTCCGCTCTCGGAGGGCCTGCAGCCCCGTTTCCATTGTTTCATTGTTCATCACCGCCCCTGTGCCTGCCCCTCCTCCGCTTTGTTATGACACTTTTCAGACATACCGGAAAGGTGAAAGACTTGTGTAGTGCGCACCTGTGTGCCTGAATTCTACAAGTAACATTTTACTCTGTTGCTTTGTCTTCTGTCTGCTCATTTATCCATCGAACAATCTGCTTTTGCCTTTCAAAGTAAGTTGTAGACATTAGCCTACTTTACCATTAACCCATTAGCCTTTGTGCCACTGTGCTGTGAACTCTGTTTTCAGATGAGGAAACTGTGGCTCCTAGAGGTTAGGTTATGGATCTGTGGTACTCGGCTGGTAATTGGTAGAGCCAGGATTTAAACCTAAGTCTGCCTGACTCCAGAACCCATAGTCTTGACTCTGACGCTGTGTGCCTCCATATGAATGTGAGCTTCCCAAGGATAGAGGCCGGGTAGCATCATACACCCAGAACTTGACTCGTTATAGGGACTCAGGAGTTACGTACTGAATTATTAGGCATCCCGCCTCTGCCACCAGGTCCTTGTCTGAGTCTGGTCGCATCAGCAGCCTGTCCTCATCTGAACGGTGAGAGTTAGACGAGGCCATCTCTACAGGCCCTTCCAGTTCATACTTCTTAAATTTTGGAATTCACTGGACATGTCTCACTGGAGAGAAGGAGCCTAAATGGAAGAAGATTAAATGCAAGGGGAAGTGTGTGAGTAAGGGTACGTAGCCAAGGTTGGCAAAGGCTCTTCTACCTCTGAGTTGCCCACAGAGTTCCAGTGCTGTGGATTATGAAATCAGAGGTTACTGTGGAAAGACCATAATGGCTCTTAGAGATGCAGCGTCTGAAGAATATCTTCTAGGCTCTGTTAAGTGCACTGTGCTTTTCCAGCTGAGCCAGAAATGGAGTAGGGCACGTCCACATGCATTCCTTGAACCCACGTTTTTGAGGGGCTGTCTAAGTGTGGGACCAAGGTACGTCTCCACAGTCCATGGGGAAAGTGGGAGAGGAGATAAGATGTGCTCACAAGACCCTGCCCACGAGGTACCACCCAGGTAGAGGAGCTGTGGGCCTGCCCTGAGGCAAGGACGGCGCACCTTGGAGACAGTTGTGCTTTCGGTTTTTAGATCAGTGTGAGAAACCTTGAGATTAGGTGTTTAAGGAGTGTGACTTTCTCAGCCTTACTCCTTTAGAGTTAAATATTGTAAAATACATAAAACCAGGAACGCATTTATGGAATTTCTAAACACACACGTATCAATATGCAGTCAACTCTTGAACAACATGGGTTTGAACGGCATGGGTCCACCTATTCACAGATTTCTTTCAATAAATACATATTAGGGTGCTACATGACCCCCAGTTGGTTGAATCCAGGGCTGCTGAACCACAGATATGGAGGGCTGACTGTATAGTTACGTGCTGATTTTCGCCTGCGTGGAGGTTGGGCGCCCCTAACTTCAAGGGTTCATGGGTCAACTGTATATATGTGTATGTGTATGCGAAATACATGCTGTATGTATATAATGTCCATACCTGTCTATATATAATATAGATGCTGTAAATGGCTTAATACTCAGAATATTTAAAATATACGAACGAACAAGTAATTTAATCTTGAGGATTTGAAGGGCATTCCTTGGATCTTAGGATGCTGTAGGTTAAACCTCACGTGTGGCATTTGCTTACAGCATTCTGGGATAGTTAACTGATGGCCAACTAGTAGAATATGTCATTGATTCTTAGCCCTTAGTGGGTTAATTTGGGAATGTGATGAAAGCTGTGACCCCCTCCCTGGAAGAATGCACATTTGAACATATACACACAGTCTTGTTTCCAATTTTGAGGTGTGTGGGCCCCTGGAGTATATGCCACTGCTCCCATTTGTACCCCTCCTGTCCGTTATCCACATAGCAGCCATCAAGATACTTTAAAAACAAATTTTCAGAACATGACATGCGGCCTAAGGCTTTTTCACTGGCTTCCCATTACACGTAGAATAAAATCCAAACTTTACTATGGACTGGAAGATTCTCTTCTGAGTGCTGCCCCTCCTGCCTCTACAACCTCATCTTCCCGGTCTGCTTGTTTTCTGAACTCTGGTCAGCACAGCTTTTCTGTCCCTTGGACATGCCAAGCTCATTCCTGTATTTTGAATTTATTGTTTCCTTTGCTTGGAACACTGACTCCTGCCCTGCCTGCAGCTTCGTATATCAAATATAATGTCAAGGAGGCCTTCCCAGGTCACTCTTTATTATAGAGTAACCTCTGCCCCCAGCCGCTTGCTCTTTTCTTGCCCTTTTTTCTTCATAGTAGAGATTCTGTGTTTGTATGTCTCCTCCACTAGGACATGAGCTCCATGGCCCTCTACTGCCCCTGGCGCCTACAGCAACACCTGTGGTGTCCTGGCACTCGATGAGTCTGAGTTGTGTGGACCAGACACTGGACTTTTTCCTCCTGTGAGACATTTTAATATTGATTTATTATTTCTTTCTATTGTGGTGTCTAGGCATGTGGTGTGATAGTGGAATTAATCAAAAGCAAGAAAATGGCTGGAAGAGCTGTCTTGTTGGCAGGGCCTCCTGGAACTGGCAAGGTACTCATTTTCTCTCATTTTTTAAAATCTACCCAAGAGGATGATCTTAATGTCTAAGCCAAATTCAATTTGTGTCTTAACTAGTCTTTGTTTAGCTAAATTGGTTATGTGTATGTTTTTAAAACCAATGTGCAATAATACAGTTGAGTATCTAAAATCCATGCTTCTAAAATTCAAATTACCCTGGCTGACCTCCAGAGAAAAGAGAGTGAAATCCTCAGAGGTGTCTCATTGTCTCTGTAATTTGTCTTTTATCTCTTTCAAGTCTCCTTTGCTTTGGAAATATATTTCTGTTGGCCTAGGGCTTCATAAAATCTTGGGAGTGACATCTTACTTGAGGGGGAAAGAAAACCAGTCAGCAAGCAATTTTCCAAGTGCTAACTTGACCCAGCACTATTCTGGCTGTGTGAGAGATGGAAAGAAAAAGGAAAAAAGAATTAGAGACGTGATTTTTATCTCCAAGGGCCTTACAGTCTCTCCAGGGCAGAGAGGACACCACGGCAGCATGAAAAACTCCAGTTGAGCGCTAAGCTGCGAGGCATCGCCTGATCTTAAATGCAGCTGGAATTGCAGCGGGAGGTGACACTTGGGCTGGTGTGGCTGGAGGGGTTGAAGCTTGACATTTGACTTGGCAGGGAAGGAAAGGGCCTTCCAGGCTGAGGGTGCAGGACAACTTGTGGGATCTGTGAGGGGCTTGGCTGGGTGCCTGAAACGCACTAGAGTCCCCAGTCTGGGCCCTGCTTGTTCTTCCGGAGGGCTGCTTGGTGCAGGAGAGGAGGAGCCTGGGGGAGTCACTGTGTAAAGAAAGGGGTTCCAGGTCTGGTCCCTTAGCCTTTCTGAAGCAGTAGCACAGCCCTGCCTGTTGGAGGGAGTTACTAAAGTGGCGGTTGTAGGATGATGACTCTCATTATCGTGTTGAAGTCATATGAGTGAATTGATAGTATGTCTTTTACTGGTGTCTAACCATAGAGGAGGAAGTGTTATGTTTGTGAACAGGTATAAACGTGAGCTTTAATTCCCTTTCTGCTTGTCACTGTATTTACCATTTATTTGCTTACTGTTCCTTCTC